GGGCCTTCTTTATGGCAGTGGAAAGGGCCTGTGGAGTCAGGGTTGGAGGAAGAATTGCTCTCCGATGTCCTGGAAGCCTGGTGAGCAGAAGAATCTTCAGTTAGAAAGGGGTTAAAGTGGGCTGCAATCCCAGTATGTGTATCTGCTGGCCAGGCCATGTCAACAGCTGACTCTTCTTTGGCAGTTCATCGATGACCCTGGGCTGAGGAATGACACTCGAAACATGCCTGTACAGCTGCCTCTGGCTCACTCTGGGTGGTTGTTTAAGGAAGAGAATGAAGAACCAGATGTTAAACCTTGGCTGGCTGGCCCCAAGGAAGAGGACATGGAGGTGGATGTGCCTGTTGTGAAAGGTATTTTGTCAGTTAATATCTCGTCTCCTTTCCTGTGGCTGCCCCCCAGTCCCCACTGTGGGCCTCCCAGATTGCTGCATAATAAGCAGGTTCTCTCCCATTCCAGCTGTAAAATACATGGCCTGAACAAAGACACTAAAGTCTCGCTCTCAGAAGGTTCATGCTGATATGAACCGGTGGGCCTAGCCACAGATACCCCTTATTAGATAAGTCACACAGTTCCTGGATCCCTCTTCACAACTAGTGTTTCTCTGCAGCTTCCTGGCTGAGCGACTGGAGGAGTTGGGGGTGAAGGGATGGGTACAATGAGATGACACACAGGGTGGCCACTTGATAGCCCTTTCATTTGTGTTACTTTGGGCAGTAAAAGAGGAGCCACGAGATGAGGAGGAGGAGGCCAAGATGAAGGCTCCTCCCAAAGCAGCCAGAAAGACCCCAGGCCTCCCAAAAGACGTATCTGTAGCAGAGCTGCTCAGGGAGCTGAGCCTTAAGCAGGAGGAAGAGCTGCTGTTCCTCCAGCTGCCAGACACGCTCTCTGGCCAGCCGCCAACTCAGGACATCAAGCCTATCAAGACAGAGGTGCAGAGTGAAGATGGACAGATGGTGGTCGTGAAGCAGGAGAAAGACCGGGTATGCTCAGGAATGAGTTGTGTGGAAATGTGGGGGGATCGATCAGGAAGGGAAGCAGCGACTGTAGCATGAAGCAGGGGTGTGCCACCCAAGCTGAATTGCAAGAACATCATGTATTTGTTCTTTCTCCCCATAAGAAGCTTGGGGCTTTGTACTTCAACCTCAATTATATGTATGTTTACTTGTTACAATGAAATACTTGAACTGTACATGAGAGGCCATTAACCCTCATGTGCCATTACCCAGTTTCAGCAGTTATTAATATTTGTTTGTTTGTTTGCTGTGGGTGATTTTTGTTTTGTTTTGTGGTGTGTGTTTTTTTTAACCAGTGCAAGCAGCCCTAGGAAAAGGCCCTTTTTGGGGAGCTTATGCTAACCTTTGCTGCTGATGCCTTTCTTTGGGAAAGGGTTCCCTCATGAAGGATGGAGGAAACTGCCCCTTCCCCCCTCTCCATACCCTGATTCTCTTCACAGGAAGCCACGCTGGCAGAGAATGCTTGTACCCTGGCTGACCTGACAGAGGGTCAGGTTGGCAAGCTGCTCATCCGCAAGTCAGGAAAGGTACAGCTCCTCCTGGGCAAGGTGACTCTGGATGTAACAGTGGGAACCGCCTGCTCTTTCCTGCAGGTGAGAGCCCATAGGTTCAAGGGCAGAGGCCCTTTAAGAGGTCGAGGATGCTGAGGAATCAGTGCTAAATGTGGGAGAAGGGTTCTTGGGATTATCACATTAAAATCAGGACTGATCGATGGGCTGTGTGGTTTTGGTTCTCATTGCTTTCTCTGTCGATTGGCAGGAGCTGGTGTCCGTGGGCCTTGGAGACAGTAGGACGGGGGACATGACAGTCCTAGGACACGTAAAGCACAAACTTGTATGTTCCCCCAATTTTGAATCCCTCTTGGATCACAAACACCGGTAATATGAGCAGATGGAGGATGATGGTGACTGCCCATGGATGCTGCCTGCTCCAGACGTTTTGTTCTAAAATCTGTGCGACCCGGAACAGGCCTGTTTAGCCCACCCACTCCAGCCTCTGGCAGCCATTGTCCCAGTTTTCCCCACCGGGCTCATGTGGCTCCCTCCCACAGCAGCTGTGAATGGCACAGTGACCTTCCCACAGCATGGATGCTGCATGTCCTTGCTGCTGGGGGACTTGTCCCTTCTATTTATTATTATATTTATGCTTTATCTCTTCAGCTGACTACATCTTTCCCAGGTGCAGAGGGGAGGGTCTGTGGAAGAGTACAGGCTCCTCCTCATGGTGACCATCTGGGTTCTCGCTGTGGGAAGTATAAGAACTGCTGCTGCTGCTGCTGCTGCTCTCGCTCCCTCCTTCCTCCTGAGGGGCAGTCGGAGAGAGAGCAGGGAATGTTTTAGTTGGAGTCTCAGTACTCAGGCCCAGCTCCATCAGTAACTAGTAGTGTGACCTTGGACAAACCACCTAACCTTTCTGAGCCTCATATTCCTCGTTTGATAAAAATGAGGACAATACCTACCTCACAAGGTTGGTGTGAGGATTAAATGGAATGTTGTAGATGAAAACTCCTTGCACAAGGCCCCCACATGTACAGTAGTCACTCAATAAATGTTAGTTTCCCTTCCCTTTGCTTGAGTCTATATTCAAACAAAATAGAGATTCTGAGAATCTCTCGGGGGAAGTGAATGCTTTGTCCCTGCATTCTTATTCCACGTCCCAACCACCCTCCTCCCCCCCACCCCCTACCCTGGCCTAATCCTCTGAAGGTACAGGTTCAGGCCCTTCTATGCCCTTTTTCTCCCGAGCATTCTTAGCCAAGTGCTTCCTGTTCATTGCTGTGAGGTCCTAGCTCTAGGTTCTATCAAAGTAAAGAAGTCAGAATCTTCCCAGCACCTACGAATGCCTTCAGGGGACACAGTGGTCCGAACACTTGTTCCCCCTACCCTCACCCCTGGAATAAGTAGCAGTACTCTTCTGGCTTCCATTGAAGGGTTTCTCAAAAGAGCAATTAATAATTCTCATAGGGAATTAACACTGCACTAAGTCAACTACGGCTGAAGAACCCTTGGTAAAATAGACGTGAGCCCTGGCCACTGACTCAGTTGGTTAGAGCACTGTCCCGTGCACTGAAGGGTCACAGGTTTGATTCCCTGTCAAGGCACATACCCAGGTTGCGGATTGGATCCCTGGTTGAGTGTGTGTGCGGGAGGCAACTCATCAATGTTTCTCATATCAATGTTTTCTTCCTCTCTAGAATCAGGGAAAAACATATCCTCAGGTGAGAAAAAAAGATAGAAGTTGAGATTTATTAAATAACTAGAGGCCCAGTGCACCAAATTTGTGCAGGGGGGGGGGGGCCCTCAGCCTGACCTGCACCTTCTCCAATCTGGGAGCCCTCAGGGGATGTCCAACTGCCAGTTTAGGCCCAATCCTGCAGGCAGTTGGACATCCCTCTCGCAATCCAGGACCGCTAACTCCTAACTGCTCACCTGCCTGCCTGCCCTAACCACTCTGCCTGCCTGCCTGCCTGATCCCCCTAACTGCTCTCCCCTGCCAGCCTTATCCCCCTAACTGTCCTCCCCTGCTGGCCTGGTCACCCCTATTAACTTTTTAAAAAAAATCTTATCCCCTTCACACACAATTGTATTTGACTTCCTTATTGGCTTCTCCCTGTCACACCATTTTTCTCTCTCCTTTATGTAACACTTTTTCCTACTGACTCATCATTTATAAACTTCTTTCCTCCTTGATTTCCTACTTTTGTTCCATTATCCTTCCCATCTATCTCCTACCCTCCCTCCCGTCCCACATTCCTTCTTTATCTTTACCCCTCCCCTCCCTCCCCTTTTCCTTCCTTCCCACCTTATTTTTTTTCTTCATTTCCTCCCTCGGACCTGCTTTGCTCCCTCCCCCATATCTTCCTTCTTCCCATTCTCCTTTTAAGCTCTACCGGCTCCCCTTTAAAACTTTTCTTCCCTTCCTCTTTCTCATCCTACCTTTCCCATATACTCTTCTCTACTTACTTCCACTGTTTTAATATCTATCTACCTGCCTAATTATTCACTATCATTTATCGTTTTTCTTTTCTGGCTCCTACTTTTAAAATCTGTCCCCAATACACAACTATACTTGATTTTCATTATAGCTCCTACAGTTCACTCATACATCCTCTTTCCTTCTTTAACTCTGCTGTCTGCTGACTCCTTTATAAAGTTCTTTCCTTCTTTCCCATCCTCCCCCCTCCTCCCTCACTCTTTTACTCTTTTTACAGGCTAATTAAAAATTCTATGCTTTTCATCCTGTCTTAGTACTGACTTCTTTCCTCTCTGGGATGTGTAGCAGCCTCTGTTTGGGCACTCGGGCCCTTCTCGCATTGGCTTTGAGGGCCTGAGCAACGACGCAGCAGCTGTGTCTTGCTGACCGTGGCTCAAACCTCCCCTCTCGGAGTCAGGGGAGCGTCTTGCTGGGCCGGGGCATTACGCACGCAAGAGGCTTTTCTCCTGTTGCGTGCCGAAGGGGGGGATGCGGAGGCCTTTCCCATTCCCCAGTGTGCCCGCTCCCATGCCTCAAGCCGCTCTCCGTCTGCTCCTATCCCGAATTCATAGGCGACGGGCGTGCTTGCACAGGCATGGTTGGGGCCCAGCTTGTCCTTGGGGGTCATTCCGCCCAGGATGCAAGCTCCTGTCTGGGTCGGACCAGGCCGATGAATGGATGGACAGCTAGAGAAAGCCGTGGCCGCTTCCCTGTGGTGTGAGAGTCGCCTGTGGTCTCCACGGTGGCAGGGCCAGGTTCACGCGGCGGGAGGAGACTTCGAGGTTGTGCGCTTGGGAGTATTGACCGGTGCCCCGGGCATCGTGGGGCCACCTTGTTGTCTGTGGCAATGGGATCCCTGCGTTGTTTACCCGATGGCTGTCCTGCTTTACCTCGACGTCCACTCTCTGTTATCGCACCCGGGCCCTTCCTTCATGTTGGGTCCACACCCTCTCGATTTGCGTGCGCGACCCCTCCTGGGGGTCTCTGCCGACACTCACACTCCCTGGTTGGTGTCTGCCTATTGTGCCCCGAGAACTGGCCTTCTGCATGTGGGTGTCACCACTCAGCCCTCTCACTTCCCTGGCCCGGCTCCAGGGGCAGGGAAGCGAGCCTCATGCAAGTCCCCTGGCTGTGCATGCAGCCTGTTGAATGGTCGTTACTGTGACACCGTAACGGACAGTTTGCATATTGCCTCTTTATTATGTAGATGGCCTCTTTGACACTTGACAGATGACATTCCACTTTAAAAGTTTTGAATTTGAGGGACCCAGCTAGAGGCAAGATGGCAGGCTCATGGTGAGCAGATGTCAAGGGATGAAAATAGGTATGCCTACAAGCAAATTTTAAAAGCATTTTCTCTTCAAATCTTTTTCCATACCACCTGATAAGCATCTTGATTCACCATGGCGGTATCAGCAGTGAAATGGGCAATATCAAACAGAACTATTTTGAAACATTTATTTCCAATCCAAAATGGAGTTTTATACTGTGTTTGTCATAAATCCACATACTCTTCTCTTCCAGATGACTATAATTGCAAAGTAGAACTTGCTCTGACATCTGATGGCAGGACTACAGTTTGCTACCATCCTTCTGTGGATATTCCGTATGAACACACCAAGCCTATCCCTCGGCCAGATCCTGTGCATAATTATGAAGAAACACAGGATCAAATACTGAAAACCAGATTAGAAGTAAAAGATGAACACTTGGAGCAAGGACCATGATAGAACAACTTAGCAAAATGTTCTTTACTACTAAGCACCATTGGTATCCTTAGGGACAGTATACACGTCGTAGGAAACTGAATCTTCCAAAAGACATGATATTGAGGTTTTCAGTAAAACGCTGTCCTGTTCTCATTTGCCATTTGAGAAAATGCAATCAGGTATATTCACTACTATGTAATATAGTAAAATAATAATAAAATGTCTTTATCTAAAAAAAAAAAAAGTTTTGAATTTGAGAGGCACACCTCTGTCTCCTAGCATCATCAGGTTCACCCACTTGGCTTGGTTCCCTATCCCCACTGGCCATCCTGGCCTTTTTTAGTTCATGGGTCTTGTTCTTTTCATCAGGTTATCACACTATTCTTATTTTTATTTTATTGTTTTCAGAGAGGAAGGGAGAGGGAGAGAGAGAGAGAAATATCAATGATAAGAGAATCATTGTTCGGCTGCCTCCTACATGCCCCACACGGGCTCAAGCCCGTAACCCAGACATGTGTCCTGATCAGGAATCAAACCGTGACCTCTTGGTTCATAGGTGGACCCTCTACCACTGAGCCACACCAGCTGGGCTGGTTATCACACTCTTGATCCTTCCATTGTGTAGGCCCTGGAGGAGCAGCTTCTCTGCCTCTGGCCTTTGTCCACAGGGCTGGATTTTTCCATGGTTCAGTGAGGGTGGGGCATCTTAGAGGTTAGGGCAAGCCTCCTGCAACAGTGACTCTGGTTATTAGATGCCAGTGTCACAGCTCCCTTTCCTGTGAATTAGCAAACTGCCTCTGAAACAGGGATGGACCACAATAAGAGCGCTCAGTAAGAATGCATCCTGACTTTCAAGTAACCTCAGAGGTTTTGGGTGGATATGCCTTCCTTTAGTTTCTTCCTTCTGTCATGGCTGGGGCTTTTTCTACACTGAGCCCTTCAAGCTGCCTAGCCAGCAGCTGTGAGGGAATTGAATATTTAATCACCACATGGCCCCTTCTATAGCTAAGAGCTCACAGGAGCTCTGTTGGATGGTCTTCTGGTCTCTTCTCACTGTAGCCTAGACCAGTTTTCTTGAAGACATGTTTGTGGAAGTCCTATTTGGCCTAAGGTTGAGCTATGAGGAGCCAACTGCTTTTTGTTCTCTGGGCTTCAATGCTTTCCTGTTTTATATAGCTAATGCATTGCCAGTGGGTCTCCATTGTAATCCTCTCTCTCTTCTGTTTCTTTGGCTCAAAAAATACTCTTCTGCTTTCCTAGGCCAACTCAAAGACCCTGCTTCGTTAGATGTTTGGTATTTTTCAGTCTTTAGTTCTTCAACTCTTCCAAGAAAGCTTAAGGAGCCCTAGCCAGTTTCACTCAGTGGTTAGAGCATTAGCCCACAGACTGAAGGGTTCTGTCTTCCATTCTGGGCAAGGATATGTACCTCAGTTACAGGCTCAATCCCAAGAGCTGGTCAGGGCGGAGGTAACCAACTGATGTGTCTCTCACATTGATGTTTCTGTCCCCCTTCCTTCCACTCTCTAAAAATTAATGGGAAAAATATCTTTGGGTGAGGATTAACATACACACAGAGAAAGCTTGAGGAGGAGCATGTACCACTTTCCTGTTCACCATTTCAGGTACCTCGGGGTTGAATGTTAATGACCCTGAGTCAAAGTCCCCACAACTTGTCTTTATTCCCTGATTCACAGATTGGATGTAAAAGTGTGGAATAAACACAAGGCAAGTCTGCTTTTTTGGCTGAGCCTCTGAAATATACAGTTCTACCCAACAAATCAGTGCAAATAATGGTAGTAAAAAACCCAAAGCAACATTCATATATGGGTGCAAATGTATTACTTCCTGCATCTGTATGTGCATGTTTTTAAGACACCAAAAG